TCAAGGAGCACGGAAAATACATACCACGGAAAAGAAAGACCTGCAACAAGCAGAAGGTAGAACAATTTTTAACTCTCAAGTTATTTCTGTTAGCTCTCATTGTACAGGCTAAAACATGAACAAATATATAAATAACGAGGAAAATGTCATTTATAGGATACCGATGACCCACGAAAAGAACAGTGTCATGAAAATACTTTGGCGGCCGTTTAGTTGCTCCATTGCTCGCACATGCGTAGACGTTTGACCGCTGTGTTCGTTGCGATTAACTTGTCCCCAGTGTCATCCTGTGAGATCAAAATTATAAGACGCGATGAACAACACCCAGCCGGGTGCTACGAGAGTCAGTGGAGACTGACTTACTTAACGTCGCACCATAGTGGCAAACTTTTTAGTTGAGTTGTTCAAAAATCTAAACGCAGCGCGTCTAGCAGAGAAATTAAAAGCGGGGTGTCAACACGACTGAATGATATTCGGTGGGTTGTTACAAGAAATCCCTGACGGAACGTTTTGAGCTTGAGAGAGACAAGTGACAAGTGATTTCGTAGCCTCATACCAGTGGGGTGAGGAACAATCGAGCGGCATTTTGACCAGGCCTTATGCTTTTATAAAGCAACCGGCACAAATGACTACTTTGATGGTACAGAACCAGCGAAGAGAAACAGAATCTTTCAGTTAGGGTTGCAAAGACATTCCGCTATAACTCTGGTCCAATATTTGTTCATTTGGCTTTCCACCGACAATGCAAACTATAAAGATGTTTGCTACAAGTAGAACATGTGCTCACAACGCATGTATAACTCTGGATAATAAATTTAAATTGATACTGACAAATTGTTGTTGAAGCTACGTCACGGTTTTGGCATCTTGAAAAGTAAGCCTAAATTTTTAAAAATGCTTCGTTTCTAATCTGTGTAAATCTCCATCCTTAAACATCCTTGTTCCTTTACGTTTTATTATTATCTCTTTGGTGTTTGTCTATCTTAGTAAACTACTATTTTCAGGTTTTCCTCAATTTGAAGGTTATTTTGTACACAGTCAAAATACCTTTACGGGAATAACAAACTGCTGGGGAAGATCCTTCATGGACTAGTAACCTATCTTGGGAGAGCAGTGAAACTCCAACAATTAAAATATGGAGGCTACAAATACGTCATACTGGTGGATTTTCCCTATGCCTTCCCCTAACGCCACCCCTCCTCGGGTTCCACTTTAGCATGTTACCGTCTCAATTTCTATTATCTTATATTCTGTCTGTCTTATTTATTATCCAGGCAAGCACGGCCTTTGATAGGAAAGGTTCAACATTTAACGAGGTACCTCATGTAACTTTTATCAATTGTACACATTTGTTTGCTCTGTGAATATACTTAAAAATTCTTGCGTGGCGTAACTTTATTAATTTGATTGGACGTTCTGTTAACGCTTATAAATCCTCAATCTTTGAGGGGTAATTTTGTGATATTAACTCTGTAACTGAACAGTGTCGAAGCTGAACTCTAAATCACTAAATTTAAACATTGCATGACATAAAAATAGGTGACTACCAACTTATATTGATTTTGAAGACTCAAGAAGAAAAAACTTATTTCTAATTTTAAAAGCTTTGTTTAAACATTTCCTATCTCTAAATTGTAAGTAAACAGTAAACAAAACACTGAGCACAAAAAATGGCTAAACTATTGAATGATAAACTGAGATTTAAACTAATAATCATAATCATACTTAAATGACCCCAATCAACCTCCGCCATTTTTGATGCTCTCGAAAATATTGATATTGCATGGTGAAACGTAGTTTTATTGCTTTGCTGTAAGTTACGTTCCTGAAAGTATGTTTAATTATCTTTAGTAATTTCACCGTGATTTCCTTCGTTTCGACACGCTCGGAATAAGATAATAGCCAAACCCTTGCATGTAAACAAAATCAACGGTGTGGCTGACTAGGGCCCTTCACAAACAAGAAATTTCTGACAGTTTAAAACCCTTGTTTCTGAAGGATGATTTTTGTTCTCGTTTTTATAGTTGATTTATACGCTTACTTCCGTATTATGTCTTGTACAAGAGAGGATAAAGGATAAAAGGCCGGGTAATATCTTCTGTAGGCCTTATTACCTAGGTAACCCCTCTCCATTTTTAGCTCACTGCAGGTATCGGAAATCCCTGTGACGTGGACTTTGGATACGGGAACAGCTCAAAAAACACCCAGGCCAATGGCGGATCTAGGGAGGGGCCGGGGGAACCCGCCCCACCTCCACCCCCACCCCCTTATTTTGGGTAAGAAAAAATTGCAGAAGGACGAAAAGCCGGCAGGGCAAGCATTTCTGAGTTGCCTTTTACCTCTGCGTCAAAACGGATCTTCGATCGAAACCATTCATAAGAAAATGTGGTTCATTTTCATGCAAATCAAACTCATTTTCAGAGGACTCGTTTTGACACAGTGACACAAGGAAAGGGCTAATCCAAAGGCTAATCCAAACATCACCTTTTGCTTAGCATTTGCATTGTTATCTCCTTAGGGCTTTCTTATTCAACTTCTCAAATGTGGACGACTCCTTCGTCTGTTCCGTGTGGTGCGTAAGCTGCATCGTTATACAGAATACAGCGCCATACTCCTTACTCTTCTAATGATTGCGTTTGCGATGATGGCTCATTGGCTCGCCTGTATCTGGTACGTGATTGGCTTATCCGAAGTATCTGACAATTCGACGGTAAGCTGGCTTTACGCGCTTGGAGAAGCCATCAACAAACCGTACGTTAACTTCACAATGGAGACTGGACCCGATGAAGGGTCTGCTTACGTCACTGCCCTGTATTTCACGCTGACCAGTATGACCACGGTCGGATTTGGTAATGTTGCTGCAAATACAAATGGAGAAAAAGTGTTCGCTGTAGTTACTATGTTAATAGGAGGTAAATTATTATGTGTTTTAGTCACATATATTGTTCGTAATCAAAGATTTAAAAGCGGAAACTTTAAGCAGCAACCACAGAAAAAATATATATATATTTTAGGACAAATGTATTGAAATACAGTTTTTATCACTGAATATCCTATACTTGGAATCTTCTTCCAATAGAAACTCGTAGTGCTACGAATGTAAATATGTTCGAAGCTAGAGCTAGGAGTTTTTTGAGTTATTAGTACTCTAATTCCAGTTTTCGAAAGTTTTACTTTTTACACTTTTAAGGTCCGGTATTACGGGCAGCGTTTTTCTTCGACTTGTCTCGCAACATTGATGCATTGCAAGTTGAACACACTGTTACGCGTATTACCAAGTTTGTGACCAACTTTTCTCGTAGCAAAATACAGTGTTGCAAGTTGAGGCAACATGTTGCGCAAAGTAGACTCGAGTTCTACTTTCTGGAACAAATTGTAGTTTTGCTGCTCGTATTACCACTGTAGCTACAACTTGTATCGCAACAAATTTGAATTCAATGCTTGTGATTGGCTGTCGCGAAGCGCGCGGCAACGCGGCAAACAAAACAAAACAAATATGGCGGACGGTGAAGACGAGCGTGAATTCAAAGTAGACCAGTCACTCTCGAAAAGTCATTAATTTGCCCTGTACAAATACTTCGAGGGCTATCATAGTCTTTGGGACATCTCGTTTGTCCCTTCAAAACAAGTAGCAAAAAAAGGCAAAAGGCTTGAAAGAACTGTCGCAAAATACAACTTTTCGACTAGCAATCTGAAACGACACTGATCTTCATACTGAGAGAACTTCGCTGGCACGCAAAATTAAGAAGAAATGACGGCCAGAAGTCGAAGTGGAAGTTCGTGGAAACGCTAAATTATACGAAAGAAGGCGCCATCTTTTATTTACACACGATTGACCAATTATAACTGAAGGTATTCCGCAGACTTGCAACACTGTATTTTGCTGCGAGACAAGTTGGTCACAAACGTGGTAATACGCGCAACAGAGGGTTTCAACTTGCAATGCAACAAGGTTGCGAGACAAGTTGAAGAAAAATGTTGCCCGTATTACGGAACCTTTAGTATTACTTCGATGCAAAATGTACTTCTAACCAACTCGGTGATGTGTTTACATGGAGTCCTGGATGGACCCCATATCCAGTTGGCCTTTATTTTTTAGGGATTTATTATTTCGTGTTTACATGTAATTATTTTATCGCCATGAATTGTAATAAACTAAACTAGAATACTTTAAACATGGCGGAGAAACAAAACAGCGGGCTCGTCAAGAAAGTCCAGGTTTCATTTGATTTACAAAACAATGAATGAGATCATCACTTATCGATAACTCTCCTCCGAATTATTTTTGTTTATTTGCAGCTCTGATGCATGCTGCCATATTTGGTAATGTGGCCGCCATTATCCAGAAGCTATATGCCAATCGTGTTCGGTACCATTCCCGCGCCAACGAAATCAAACAATTCATCCGGGTACACAGAATTGATCAGGATTTAGCCAATAGGCTTGAAGATTATTTTCACACCACGTGGTCGCTTTCCGGCGGGGTCGATACTAGCGAGGTATGCATTGCACTATATATTTCATCATTTTTATAAGCGAAAATATTACAAGAAGAAATATTGAGGGACTGAGTAGTTTTCCTTTGACTGTCGCAAGTAATTCGCGTTTGCTTTGGTTTTGCATTAGTGTGCTGCGCGATTAGCTGAAAAAAACTCGCAGCACTTTTTTCCTCGAATTGCGTCAGCTAGATCTATGTACTTCGAGCTTTGATTAGTTCACTGGATTGTCAGTGTCTTTTGTGATTGGCCAGAGTGATTATTATTATTATTTTGGTTTTATTACTCTCAATTGAAAACCACTCTACTGTAGAAAACATTGAATGATACTTATGTTTCATTTGAAGCCAACAGAATGACGAGTTTCAAAGCTTAAAGTGGATTTACTTCTATCACATTTAAAAAATTCTGTCTATTTCCCGCCTTTTCTAAACGTTTTCTTTCAATTAGGGTGCGTTTCTTTAAGAAAATTCAAGATTGGATTCTTAAATCCAAAAACGGATTTTGCGTTTTTTTACTAAACAGATCAATCCAAGATCACACGGATCATGGTGCATCATAGGAACCAAAGAAACCTTGCCCAGAGTGGATTCCTTTGATGCGCCATGATTTAGAGATCTTGGATTAATCTGTTCAGAAAAGAAACGAAATAATCCGTTTTCGGATTTAAGAATCCAATCTTGTATACGTACTCTTAATCTGTATCCTCAACAAGTTCCAACAGTCGCCTCTTCTCTCACTGATTCTACCTAGATTCTCACTACATTTCCGGAGGAACTTCAGTCTGACGTATGCATGCATCTTTACAAAGGACTGCTGGAGCTCAACCCTTTCAACCAGGCCCCGCGCGGTTGTATCAAAATGCTCTCGCTTCAGGTCCGCACGGTTTACATTGGACCTGGTGAGGTATTACTGGCACAAAATGACGTCATCAATGCTATTTATTACATTGCTAGCGGATCCATGGAAGTGCTCCAAGGAGAATCTGTTGCTGCAATTCTTGGTAAGTGTATCTATTTCACCGTGAGTCTTTCCAAGTTATTTCAGAGCCTTCTTCCCCAGTATAGCTTACTCGAAAGCATTTCCAAGACAATATTTAAAATAAGAAAATATTTCCCTCGTTTCTATCGAAGTTTAGAAAAGTTTAAGAGAATGAGAAATTCCGTAGGGCCGAAGGCAAGTGTTTCCAAAGAGTTTTCGAGTTCTCCTAAACTTATGAGCTCGAAATTTCTATGGCGCGATAGTTGACGAGGGCTGCGCGTCAACTATCACCCACACAAATCGAGAGCAAATAATCTAATTGTTTTAGTATAAGTATAGTCGTTCAAAACTTTATCTTAATCCTCTTCACAGACGCTTTGAAAACACAAAGAAGCGACAACAAGTTTGTTAACAATTACAACCGCACACTTCTAGGCTACTTACTGTCTGCAACAGAATATCATATTCTGATATAGTGAGTACAAAGGCGTCGTGCTAGTTCTGTCTTTCTGTAGAGTTAAGGTAATGCAGCTTTAGCGAGGGGCTCGAAAAAAGTGTTATTAGCTATAAAATCGGACTAGAATTTCATAGGATGCCTCCTCGAGATCTCTGCAATTCTTCTCTTTCCGTTATAGCGTGTGATAAAAAACGGCTTCTTCCTCATTTCAGGTAAAGGAGATCTTTTTGGGGAGGACATCTCACGCAAGACTCCTGCAAAGCGTGCAAATGGTGACGTCAGAGCTCTGACGTATTGTGACGTTTATTACATAACACGTGAACGCTTGCAGAATGTTCTCCACTTTTACCAGGACTTCACGTTCAAGTTCTCCGAGAATCTTGAACTTACATACGATCTGGGAGCGAGTGAGGTAATGCTTACTAAGCCTCGATTCCTTATTTCATATTCTTTCCAAACCAGCGTGGTCGAGTGGTTTGGGCGCTGGACTTGAAATCCGGAGGTCGCGGGTTCAAGTCCCGCTCCGACCACTAAGCTGTCCAGTGGGTAAGACGGCAACACTGAAAATCACGACCACTAAATTGCCTCGAGACAAACTTGCTTAACCTTTAGGTAAACGTTGGAACAGATATTATTCGAAATTTCAGCCTGAAAGCTAAGTATTGATAAACCCCGCGGGTAATGTGGCGGTCGCAGCCCGCGACAGAGCTCAACGCGACAAACTGCTGATTACAGAGGACCCCTCCCTGACGTTCTCAATTGTCAAAGAGGCACGTGACCAGACCCAACCAGGGCGGTAAGATGAGAGACCCTGGGAACGATGTTGTTTAAGACCAGTCTTAAAATTGGTTCCCTTGTTCAGGCCAATGTTAAAGGCATAGTGAAAGGCTTTTGTCGATGGCCTTATTGATAATGATGAAAAAGTAGCTGTTTGTAAAAAGCATACCCAATTCAAGACTAGAGTGCAAAAACCATAATCTATTTGAGACCAAATGGGCAAAATCGATACCCTTTGGGGCCTCACCTAGGTATATAGCCCATATGAGAGAGTAACCACCACATGCCTGGAAAAACCATAGGGGCTAGTGAAGCCAGGCAGCCCATTAGGTATTATATGTAGATAAACTGAAANAGGTGGAGGGGGGCCCAATCCCCCCCCCCCCCCCCCCCCCCCCCCCCACCTTCCCCAAAGTTCTTACTGTTTCGAAAATGTATGGTTCAGGGATATGAATGCTAACAATATCCTTAGATAAGGTATGCTTAAGAGCAAGTTTCTAGGCAGAAAATTGATAAGATGACTGATGCTGTATTTTAACCAGCCAAAGTGTCTGGTAAAAATAAAATGCAGTTGAGTTAACCAGAGGCATCTTCCAAACTGTGACCAAGTTTATTTACTATCAATGTCAAGCCATGAAGAATGCTTTTGTATAATTTGTTTTTAGTCAGCCTAATGAATTCCCACTCATGGATTAGGTTGTTATTATTAATAATAGTAGTACCACCCACGTATGTGCAGAATGGGAGAGATTGACAATAGCATTTATTACCAGAATTTTTATACATCTTACTGCAGTCAGCAAGAAAAGGACTGCCAAGGTTGTTTGTAAGATATAGATTAAACAGGACCATAACATGACAATCATGTAATATGATCATTAAAATGAAGACTATGTTCAGTGTGTGAGACAATGTAAATGCAAAGACAATGTAAATGTCTCAGATTTGCAGTTGAGTGAAGAAAACATCAAGCTGGCTCATTAAAGAGCCCAGCTGGCTTTTCTGGCCTTGGCAGCTCCAAAGTTTACCCAAGCCTGTGTTTACTACCTACAATTTCAGCCAGATTTAAGTCTTCTTGCAGCTGGTCAAATCAAGTCAAGGCAATCTTTACTTAAACACAAAATCATACTACATTTACATGGTCTTCTCAAGAGTCGTGTTATTTCAGAACAGATTAATACATTAACTACCAAACTACTAAAATACGAAATTTAAAATGCGACAAAAAAACTTATATGGTCAAAGTTTCTATAATTTATAACGTGTTTAAAACTATTTTACGATGCAATGAGTTTTAAAATTGTTTAAATTGGGCTGCTTTCTGATCTCTAAAGGGATCTTATTCCACAGAATAGGCCCCTTGTAGTGTAGCTACCTTTTTCAGACTCTAGTTCATGGTCTTGGAAATATGTAACAAATTTTTTGACTTGTGTTTCTAAGATTCTGGTCTTGAAATATTAAAATAATGGTAAAGATAAACAATGGAAATAGATTACTATGGATTTTTTACATACATTTAGTCATTTGTTTTCTTAAACCTTTCCCAATTAAGTTCATCCTGCAGATCACTTGAATGAAAACCACAATTGGAAAGGGTGACAATTCTAGCAGCCCTGTTTAGCAGCTTTTGAAGTTAGTGCCAAAGTCCCTTGCCCCATACAGGACTACAGTGAAATTAACCAGCAGCTGCACCTTAGCAACATCTCTGCCACACTGTTAAAGGCCCCTGGATTGATCATATTAGTCATTCAATTTACCAGGCTCTTGCTCATAAGAGGACTTCAGATTAAATTTATCCTGAGGCATAGGTAGCATATGTACACGCGGCGACATGTGACCAAAGAAATGTATGGAATTATTGTACATTTGGACACAGTTGCGGTTTCCACCAGATAAAATCGCTAAGCTGTATTAATGAAACTAAGCCCATATTTAAGTTATTATGAAACTCTTCTTTCAGATCGTAGATCCTAAAAGTGGGTGGAGTCCAGGTTCCATTTACACTGCATTTAGAGATCTTCTGTTTCGAAGCTAACACTTTCCACGCCCATATACCAACCATACAGTGCTATTAACTAATACAATTGCCAACAGAGAATATGCATAAGAGACCTGATAGATCATACTTGCATTCAGCGGGCATAAATGTACGTGCGACAAATAAAAACGGCATTTAAGAACCCTTTCGAGCATTGTTTCAAATGACAATGACACCAACAGTACTTTAGAAATTGCAAGTTACATACCTTTCCGTCGACTTTTCACTTCAAACTTGTGTAGAATCCGTGCATTATAAGAATGTTATCAGCTGGCATTTTCCGTATTTGCCGCCATGCCGGTTCTTCCGCCATATTGGCTCACTAGTGGGACCGCTGACTTCAAACCAAGCCCGCTCATTCCCACGCCCCCCGACATTTATCATGTGCTTTGTTTTTCCTTTTTTTTTGTTTTTCTTTTTTTTTCGCTTTTATTTGTATTATTTCTAGAACAATTGTTGTAAATGACCCATCATAGTTGTAATAAAAAAAGGTAAAACTGACATGATTGGTTACTCTGGCTCCGGATCCCAGACTTCATTGGTGGACTGAATGTAAAGCAACCACAAGAACTTTTTTTAAAAATTCGAACGATGACTGGTTCTCCTTAAATGCTGTACCTTGTCTGAGTACGCTGATCTGCCGTCCTCCTATTCGGACGGGTAGCCTGTTTCCTTTTTTTTTTTTTTTTTTTTTTTT